GTTTTTGAACAATTTTTTGGATTTTTCACTTTTTTTGGGGGAAATTGACGAACTTATTGCTCAAATAGTCACATCTTTGACTTTCTAATAATTTAAAATAATGGAAAAATATTTATTACTTTATTTTGCTTTATTTTTTTATTTTTTATTTTTTTTTATTTTTTTGCGATCAAAACTAAAAATTAATGCGAAAAATGGATTCTCTGACCCAAAAAACCCCCGTATACACATTTTAAATAATATTTTTTTGTCTTTGAAATGCATCTAAGAGGTCGTTTATTTGGTATTTTTGAAAATATCTACCAAAAAATTTTGGCAGGCTCGAAAATGATTTTAGAGGTATGGTTCCTTGGGCGAAAATGTTTGTTATGGTCCATAGTACCAGAATCGCAAGGATATGAATCAACTTTTTTAATTGACCTACTAATTGACCCACCCTAATATATATGTATATGCATATATATTTGATAGACGGCAATAAATGGTACATTTTATTTTATTGTGGACCTTTTTATTTCAATGTTGTGGTACACAAAATTTTTATGAAATGGCAACCGTGTTCGAGCTTCTCCTCAGATTTTTGGTGTGCGCCTTGATGTTTTCACACAAAAGGAAGGGACCTACTGTTTTACGCCGAGGTTTTTTTTTTCTATCAGAAAAATCTTCGGAGGTTTGCATTGCCTGCCGAGGGGCTGCCGCTATTTGAAATAACTTTTTCCTATCTTTTGTTTAGATGTTAGTCGAACCTAGGCCCTGCGGAGTGGTATTGCTCACGTCTAAACACTACATATACCACAGTGCCCCCTGCATATTTTTAATTAGTAAGAACCCACCTGTAGAACTATCCAACTGTCCTATGTTAGACATTAAACACATTTTCTTCAGTAGAAAAAAAAATAAATTTTTAGATACATTTTAACGATTTTTTAATTTTTGTTAGAAAAAATTAGTATAATTTTTCATTATAACGAATTTGAAGCACACTGTCATACGAGGGAGGAGTTCGGAGAGTTTATGTTGTCAGTAAACATAAGTTATTGAAATACATTAAATATGTATTATTTTTAAAACGCCAATATTAAGGAAGCTAAGTATGTAAATTTATTCATCGGGTTTCTTAATTCCATATTTTGACAGTCTCTTTTTCCGTGGAAAAGTTTTTAAAAATATGCACATTTATTTAACGCAAACTTAAAACACTGAAAAGCGAATGAAATCAAAAAGTGTTGTTGAAATTTATTTTTCTGAAGCAACCGACTGTATTGTTTGTCAACAGCAGCTCATTGACATTGGCGCCAACTACGCCAGCACTGTATAGTAAAGCGGCAAAATCATAATTAATTAAAACAGTAGCAAAAAAACAAAGTTGAAACCAATTGACTACTTGTGGCTTGGAAGTGTCCAAGTGCTGCATAGCAAATTGTTGGAGTGTTGTGTCTGCGTTTGAGAAGTCAATAACTAGTATAGTGCTTATCACAGTTATACGCCACCCAAGTTTTGACTGATCTTTGTTATTTTATTAGTTAATTTTAATTATTTTTTATGAAAACATAGTTTATTCCTTAACAAAAACCGTATACATCAAAGTCCTAGCTACTTTAAGCGTGCATTTTATTATACTAAAATTGAATCTGAATGAAATCTATTAAAAAGCTCAAAGTTTTTACGAAAGTTTGTTGATTTTTTTTTTAATATTGCACAAAGTTTAAAACTTCCATTTATATGGTTTTTATTAAAGAATAAACTGTGTCAAAACTTGTCAATATGTGCATGGCGTATACTTGCGATAAGCACTATTATAAACTGGTTATTTGTTTTTATTTTTCCGTTTAAGTGGTGCTGACATTTTTTTTTCACTGAAAAAAAAAGAAACAAATTTACGGTAAATTGTGATAAACAAAAGCAAAGGCTTAACGTATCATTGAAAGTGATTAGTCTTAAGCCAATAAATTAATTTGCACTAGAAACGCAGTGTATGGGGTGAGTTGGTGTAAAAGAAAAAAAAATAAAAATAAAAACAAGCAAGTAATTCATAAAATTTTTTTTTAACAATATGTTATAAAAATTTTACCTGTGTTAATTTATTAACACAGATTTTAAAGATTATCTACAGATTTCTTAGCTGGACCCTAGGCAAGGCGCGGACCGAGTTTGGTATTGGATAGGTGAAGTGGCTACGGAGACACAGCATTTCATCATAAGTGGGCGGGGTCACGCCCATTTTCCAAAAATTTCATAATAATATTTTTTTTTTACCATAATTATACTTCACGTACTAGTTCTAAACAATTTCGATTCAATATTTATTGAAATATCGAGGTTTTTGCATTTGTCCAAAATAGCGTTATATGGGAAGTGGGCGTGGTTACAGTCCAATTTCGCCCATTTTCAATACCAACCTACCTTTTGGGTAAAGGGCAACCTACATACCAATTTCGTTGAGATATCTCAATGTTTGCTCGAGTTATCTTGGTATTTTTTGCATTTCCGGAGTTCTGTATGCAACTAAAAAAAATATATTTTTGTGGGGTTTGCTATTAAAAAACTATATATTTATTAAAAAAATAAGACAAAATTGTAATGGAAAGTATAATTAAATAAAATCGTCAAAACGTCAGGGTATGCATATTTGTGACGCTGACTGTATATTATTAGCTTAACTATTTTTCATCCGATCGTTTTAAATCAAAAAGCGCTGTGGAAAAAGATATTTATCACACCTTTCAAATTATGTCGATATATTATTCTAAAATTGCTTGCAACTCAAAGATTTTCTTTCAGAATTATGAAAAATTTAGTTCGCAAACTTATAATTTCATCACTTTTCCATGAAGTTGTGGAAACAATTACATGCATACATACATATTTACATATGTACATACATATATATTTCAAAGTGAAAAGAGTAAAAACCTACAAAAATTGCAAGTTTTTATTTTCGCTTATATTGACCATCCTGTAAAAAAAATAATTATTTGCTCAAACAACAAAATGTGGATCTCAAATTGAAGAAAAGACTCGACCAAATGGTAAACAAAAATATTAGTATCACATTAGTGAGCACAGCATCATTTCTTTTCTTATCTCTACAAGAATGTAATTCAAATCTTTGTTGATGCTATAAAACTATCTCTTGATTAGAAATGTTAATTTCCACCAGCATACCATTATGCTTCTAGTGTACGTAAATTTTATATATGTATGTATGTATGTATGTATCCGTAGGTATGCATGCATGCATGTTTTGAATGGCATCAACTTGCCATAACAATTTTCTCCCCCACGCGCAAAGCCCCTCTAACATCCTCCTACCCCTTCTGATGATAGGTTGATTTTTGAAAAGTAAACAATAACAAAGTCAGCTTAGTGTCGCCAATAACAACAATTAAATTTATTAAATAAACTAGATATTTGCATGCTTGCATACAAACATTCATATGTATGTATGTATGTGTGCAGAAATGTGCTCTTAGATATGTACATATGTATACTTTGAAAATACAAGCAAGTTAGAGAAAAAATAATGAACAGTCTCGCTCAATATGCTTAGCCAAGTGCATTAGGATGAGCCATACTTTTAGCAATTTCGTACATTTAGCATTTATTTTTCAAATAGATTTATTACATTGATGCGTGCGTTGTGACCGAAATCAATTATAAAAACTACGTAGGTTAGGCTGCAATGATAATTTCAGATTTTTTTTTTTATGTATCTAATCGTGTTTGTGAACCAATAAAAAACTTAAAATTTTCTTAAAGACATAAATGGAAAAGCAATGAAGCAGCATCCCATCTGCCGAATATGATTAATTGCAATGCAGGGACCGATGGTGGCTGATGTGGTGTAGTAGTAAGTAGTGCGCGCTTCCACTCCGTTGGGCCTGGGTTCAAGCCCGTTTCAAAGCAACATCGCAAAAAAGTATAGAAAAAAGGTTTTTTTCTTAACAGCGATCGCCCCTCGGCAGGCAATGGCAAACCTCCGAGCTGTATTTCAGCCTAGGGATGGAAAGTTTTGAAAAATAATCGATTCTCAATTCTGGAATCTTATTTAATCCTTACGATTCTTGGAATCGAATAATCGACAGCGAGATTCTAATTTTTCGATTATAATCGATTCTTTATTTCAATCTTTCTTTCACATGAAAAATCTAGAAAAAGGGTCAATTATACACCAATCAGCTGTTAATGCTATTATAATGAATCAATTAAAATTATTGTAAAAAGAGTGTTTATAACAAATTTGCAAAAAAAAATTGCTTAATTTGCTATAAAATGTGTGATTGACACTTATTCACGGTACTGTTTGATATGGAAAGTAAATAAATTTGAATACCCTCCTTAAAATTTTCTTCTTTTCATAAATTCATTTCAAGCATCTCTATGATTATGCACTAATAAGTCTTACTTAATATTTACATTAGTCTTGCCAGAAATTTCCTAATTCCAACAACTGACCCATATCTAAAGATGTATGAAAAATAAGGGAATCTAGTTCTCAGAATCGATTCTCGATCGATTCCGAAAATTTAGAATCGATTCTATAAAATCGATTATTTCGAAAAAATCTTCGATTCTGAAGTGGAATCGGAATCGATTTTTCCATCCCTATTTCTGCCATGAAAAACAGTTTCTCATAAAAATGCAATCGCCGATCGGAGTCGACGTAAAACTGTAGGTCCCTCACCTTTGTGTGACAAGATCAAGGCGCACGCCACAAATCGGAGGAGAAGCTCGGCCAAACACTTACATACATATGTATGTGTAAGCGTATGATGGAGACGCGTTTTTAGGACCGTTGTAAATCCTTTATGATCCAGAAAATTTAATCAATAATCATAAAATCATAAAATGATGATTATTTTAGATCGAAAAAATAAAATTTATAAAATAACGATTAAATAGAAATCCAATTTTATCTATAATATTTTCGTGGATATCTTAAATAACATTTGGTTTCAATTATAATTAACCTTTGCATCTTACTTTTTCTATAATTTCAGTGTTCTATACAAGGTTATAATATGGAAGATCTAGAACTGGATCAGGTCACACAAGTGATTACTTATCATCCTCGTTTCCTTGACCATTTCCTGCGTACACAAAATTTCATTATGGATGGTGATGGACCCCTGCCATATGATTACCGCTACTATTTGGCCATAATTGTAAGTAGCACGAGAACAACAATGAAGTTGAATTTATACAAGGTGATAGCGGCAGCCTAAAAAACAAAAACTACACTAACAAATTATACGCGCATTGACAATCAGAACAAAAAAAAAAATTACAACAAACACATTATTTTGACCAACAGTACAAATTCGACTTTAAATTAGCAGGTCCGGTACCACCACCTTCTATGAATTAGTCTTGGGAACAATTTGGAATTTTAAAATACAAATACATACATATAACCGCTAATATAATATAAGCACATACATACATACATATATTTAAGACAGTAAAAAAGTCTAGAAACGGCTTAGAAAAATGTTATATTCTGATGAGCTTTTTCATCAAGCACATTCTCAAATTTTGGGTGATTTTGTTTCGAATTGTGTTGTTAGCCTTAAAAAAAAAATATCTTTTAAACAGGCCATTATTTTAGGAAATTTAAACAGTCTAAGCTGTTCAAGCCATCGAAGAAATGGTCCCCCCAGGAATATAAAGCGCATTATTCGGTGTGTTAGCAATCGCAATTAAGTACTTAGAGAGTTCTACTTTTTTGTCGTCTTAGAACCTCCGCAAAAATCGTTCAGAAAAGCTCGAAAACCAGTGGTAATATGCCCAATAACCCTCCCGTGAGACGTTTAAGATTCGCTTTGGAGAGCCCTTCGCAAGGTTTGTGTTCTTCGCTCATCTAGCGAAAGTCACAGTGAAAGTGCTAATATTAATTCATCTGTTTGTGTGTGTGTGTTTTTTTTTAAATAGGTAGCCCCCAAATGCCACTGAATCCACAATACCCTTCGTTCCCCTAATTGCAAGGAAAAACAATGTTCTCACCATTAGGCTACCTCACAAGTTTTACAGAGATATTAAAATATTTTGTACCATTATTATCGTAAACTAAATGGTAGGGAATTTGTATGTATATTTTTCCCCAAGCTTTACATTTGAAGATATTTTTCATTTTGAACTAAGGAGTGACGTGGATGAATTGAGGATATTATAGTCGGCTCCGGTAGGTAGCGCTGGATTATTCAATATAGTATTCGAAAACTGCCGCTACATGGTAAGAAGCCCCTATTTTAAACATCTTCGATAGAACGTTTCATTTTCAAAAATTCCATAATAATGTTACCTCTTTTCAAGGGATTGTTGTTAGTATAAATTTTCAACGTTTTGCTTTTATGTGACAAGCACAATAACTATTCCGAGTTTGGTATAAATTGCTCGAACAGTTACCGAGATACACATACATATGTGGTTATAAGTGGGCCACGTCCATTTTCCAACATTTCATCACAAACGTTTTTCTTGGTAAAGAGTTGTTGCAAGCATCAATTTTGAATAAATGAGGTATTATCACAGATTTCGTATTTTCTAGATTACCGTATTTCGGGATGTGGGCGAGGTTATTGTCCGATTTTAAAAATTTTTGAAATTTCACTTTTGAGTGAATAGGCTTAAGTGGTTACTAAAATATCGCGTGAATAAATTTGGTATACATATGGAGAAGGATAGAAATTCGTTTTGAATATAAAAAAAATACTCTAAAAATAGAAGTAAAAGGCAACGTTCTTACAATTGATACGAATTAGAGAAGACTTCGATATTAGAGAATTTTAACTGCACATACATATTTATTTTGAACAGCAAATTCTTAGTGCAGTTCCTATCTCCAAAATGGTATTTTTTTCAAAGACACTGTTCACTTAAAAAATTCATTTTATTCAAAATTTGTACGTAACTCATACAATTAATTAGGATTCTACACATACATAAATATAGAATGCGAATAAAATCATAAATGTCATTTAATTACTTCCTTGAGAAAATTATTGTTTACATATGTACCAACATACCCACCTTCCTGCATATGTACATACATATATGGTTAAACCAATACACGTTCACGCTTCAAAGCAACGATACAACAATACATTGTATGCACATTAGGGCGGGTCGAAAAACACAAATGCACATCTATCGCCATCGGCCAGTGAGCGAGGGAGTGAGTGAAAGCTCGTTACGGTGAAAGAACACAAATTAATATATATTCACATGCTAATACCATTCATATGATAATGCAAACGATAAATTATGAAGTAGCACGACTTTGATAAAACAACAACAGCTGGTAAAATATACGTACATATATGTACGTGCATAAATAACAACAGCAATATTTAATAAATATTTACATAAATAATAAATCCAACACATTTGTTTTTTTTTTACACATATGCAATTTGCAATGCAAAATAGTCAACGAAGAATTTTAATGGAAAATGCAAAACAAAACAACACAATGACTATGTAGTTACTGCCAAGCAAACAAAAAGTATACATACTTTTAAGTATGTATATAAATATGGCTTTGAACATTTGAATATTGCAGTTAGCTACAAACCACAAAAAAATGTTTGAGTTAATCACTAGGCTCCATATAAAAGCTTCTTCAAATGCAGTGTGGGCGCAAAATTTTTTTTTATAATTATATACCCTCAGTAAAACACCTCCATATATTTAAGTGTGTGTATATAGATACTTACTTGATAAATATAAAATGAGTAATGAGCTCAACTACAAAATGATTCACAATTGGCTCGATGTTTTTAAATAAAATCAACTATGAAAATTTTTTATCAACATGAATGAATTGTAAAAATTATTCCTAATAAATTTTGTAATACCATTTAAATCTGCAAATTGCTTCCGAGGGAAAACTTTTTGAAATTTTACATCTGAAGAGGTGCACGATCCACAGTTGCTCAAAACTAACATTTACTATTCATATTTAACTGGAGCCTTAATTTTTCACTCAATTTAATATATATTTTTTTTTAATGAAAGGTTATAAAATTTGCAAGAGATCAGTTGAGCCCGAGTTTTAATTTAAATTTCCTAGTATTACATTTTTTAGTGCAAAATGCAGAAAAAGTAGTTATTTTTTGAAGAAAATCGATTCTTTTACTCCAGATAATAAATGTTATATAATAAAAACTAGTTGAAAAGAATTGTTAGGTTCACCCTAAACGAAAAAAAATTGAAATGTTATATAAAAACTACTTCCACCAAAATAATTTTTTTTTGTTCTTAAATTTTGGGTATGTAGTTTTATAGATTATGCAATTTTAGTAAAATAAAGTGCAAGTTTCAAGTGGCTAGCAGTTCACGTTGATTTTTAATAATATATGTAATAAGAATAAAAACTACACAACATGCAGATGTGAGGTTCCAGAACATGCAGATTTGCTCGAAAAGTTAGCGAAAAAAAATATTTACAAATCAACGCACTTAGCCAGTTGTAACTTGTATTATTATACTAAAATTTAACGATCTGTAAAATTGCATATCCAAAACTCGAAAAAAAACTTAAATTTTGGTGGCATTTCTTTCTATAACATTTAAAAATTTTTTTGTTACTTTTTTTCGTTTTGGGGGAGCCCTACAATTGTTCTCAACTAGTTTTTATTATGTGACATTTATTAACTGAAACAGGAGAATCCATTTTCTTCGAAAAAGTTTAATATAAATATAAAAAAATTTAAAAATCGACCTAATTTTATAAGCATTCATTAAAAAAAAAAAAAATCAAACTGGTTGAAAAATTACATTCCAGTTTTGAACCACTGTGCGACCGAGCGTTTGGGTTCAGATTTAATTCAGTTCTCGATAATTTATACGAGTTTAGTCTATCATTTGTCAATTAAAAAAAAGTGAGTGACAAACAGAAAGAGAAATTGTTTGGTACTGCAAGCCAGCTATATAAACATAAAAAATTTAATATAAAAAAGCTTTCATCAGCTTTCATTAAAAACTTATAATCAAAGAGGTTTAATAATGAAGTCCACGCTATTTGCAACCCTAATTTTTGATTTCTGACCACTGTGGAATGCATTTACCAACAGATCTACACAGTGAACTTCCGGATAGTTCCACTGGCTCTACTCTGCATGTCAGCATTTGGTTTAGGATTGTCACCAACCAGAGATCGATTCCCCTAGGGGTCCGTAATATGTTATTAAAGGCGCCTTCAGTATCTAAGTAGGAGTGCTATCAGTGTATCCTTAAAGGCTACCGACTTTACAATTAGGGATACATATAGGCATTTGTGTGGATACCAACTTGATTGAGAAAGATCCCCTGAGGTAGTGTCCCATTATATGTGCGTTCCATGATCTTAAGTGGAAAACGCGACAGAATGATTGGTCTGTAGCCTTTTGGGCTAAAATGTGAAGTCTTTCCCGCCTTGGTTATATTCTCCCCACCGCTTGTGAGAACCACTATGATAATAAGCCAGACGTTTTAGGAGTCGAATGACTAATTATTTTAACATAAATATTTACAACAAATAAAAAATAATACGTATCCATGCATGTGTTCTCTTGTACATACATACAAATATTATATTCAAATTAATCGCTTTTCCTTCCATTTGAAAGCCAACTGCTTAACCGCCCGCATTGAGATTCAATATGTAAGTCAAGTCAAGCTAAATAACAAAAAAAAAACGAATAATAATTAAAAACATCGATGTCGCTTGTGGGAGCAATTTATGCCTACGCTCATGTACCTACATACATACATACATACATACATACATTCTACTCGCATTTGAATGTGATACCACTTAATGATGTGGCTGATCTTGAGCTCAACCGCTTAATACTTCAATGCAGCAATAATTCAATAATTGAGTTATGATTTGTGGTTGCACAATTTGAATGATTTATCAATAACAGGTGCAGGCTTTTAAAGTATTTGAAATGAAGTGTGACAGAAAAAATCAATAATAGAAAGAACAAGTAAGAAAGTCTAAGTTCGGGCGGGGCCGAACATTAAATACCCGGCGCAAGTATTACATATATGGCTTTTCACCTTTCCGAAAGCTACCGCTACATGGTAAGCCGGGGTGTATCAATTTTGAATAAATTAGCGTCCTTAAATTTCGAAATATTGACGTTTCAAGCATTTCTAAAATTTACCGTTATATGAAAAG